GCAGCGCTCACACACACACACACACACACACACACGCACGCACGCACACGTATACATAATATGATATTATATAATTTATAATAACGCGTGTATATACACGCGAGAACAAAAAAACCGGAAAAAAAATCCTATACGTACGTATATATACATACATATATATATACGCGCGATTCGGGAAATTGATTACACGAAATTAATTTCGTCGATGCGTACACCCATACCGCCTATAATACATCGCCTATTATAGATGTACGAGTAGGCACACAATATCGTGTACGTGTACTGTATACTCGTGTATGTGTACCTATAGGTAGTTTGACGTTATGAAAACACGAAAATTAAATACACGGACACGTCGCCGTCGTGATAATACCTATTGCATACGCGCGCGTACACGGCGTGCACACACAGGCACTCGCGTCATCACGACGACCGCAATGCGGGTGGGCGTACGGCTGTTGGTGCGCACAGGAGTGGTGCCGGGGAAGGAAGAAAATAACGAAAAAAAAAAAGCGCCTAATGTTTGGTTAACGAGCTCGTCTGCGAGCGTGTGTGCGCACGTCGAAATAAATATGACGGCGGCGGCGGCGGCGGCCACGGTGGCGCCTTTGGGTCGTGTCATTAAGCCCGACGGCGGCCAGTCGGAGACGCGGGGACCGAAAAATCGGTTCTGAGCGCGCGCGCACGTAATGTAAATGTACGCTCGGCCCGTCCGTTATTATCGGGCCGCGTACGCCACCGACGCTGTTGCCGGTGCCGCCGCCGAGCACAAACGGTTTCCTCGTTTCCTCTCACCGCGATGGCGGCGCGTACGTATTGCATTGCGTTATACGCGCGCGCGCGGTCTCCGTCCCTCCGTCCCGGTCGTTGTCTATACGCCTAATAACGTCTGTCCGTGCGCGGCGCGTCAATAATATTCCGTACCCGACCCAATACGCTCGTCTCGATACACCTCTACACACGCGCGTTTAACGCGCGCACCGCTACATCTGTACGGCGACGACGGCTACGAGCCCATTAACCCGAAATACGCATCAAGCGGTAGTGCGGCGCATCGTAATATATTGAACCGACGCATGTACCCGCGACCGGTCTAATGTGCCATAAATATAGGGGTAGCGGAAATTGCGGCGTAGAAATCCCGTCTCTCGCGCACGTCGCGCCGCGTCGTGCGCGAGTAAAATAATTCAATTGGCGAATAACTCGTTAAATACACGCGCACACGCGCGCGCGCCGGGCTTCAGCGCCACCGCCGGTGATGCAGGTATGCCGTACGGTCATTAAGTCCTCGAATTAGCTTCTACATTTCTTTTTCATTTTTTTTTTTTTTCTGTACTGCCGTCTCTCCGTATACGCGCCGAGATTTTCCGCGTCGCCGCCGTCCGATATAATACGAATGTAAACCGTGGCGTCTATAATATAATTTAATACCTATTATATATTTATATATATATATATATATAATGTAAGTAAGAAAAATAAAACGCATTAATCAAATGCGTGTGCGTGTGTGTGTGTATATATAGGTACTTTCGTGAAACTGCGCGTCCCAATGCGTATACGTGTTTACGTCACAGACAAATCTCGATTTACTATCCGCCGTCCACTTTTCAATACCTACGACCATATATTTTTCTGTTGCGGAAAAAAAAAAAGTCCGCGGTTCTGATAGTGTGTCGAAGTCGATTATTTAACGATGTGTACACGTATTGTGTTAGAAGGTCAAATCGGAAGTGCAAGACCCGGGACGATGGAATGTAATACACCGCGAGCACTTAAGGACACGGGAATAAAACCGCGTTATCGACAGTTGGATATTAGGATTTGAGATTTTGACAGAGAAGCACGGAGAGCTATTGTAAAACCGACTAATCGAAATAATGAAGACCAGAAAAAGAGACGATTCTGCATGTAAATATACGAACAAAAATAAATACGTTTTTTTTTTTTTAATTTTCCTATGTAGTATTTATAGGTTTACTTCGAGTCGGTACGTTTCGAGAAATATTAATTTCGTTTTTAAGTAGAATCGAGATTCATATACCTCAAACAAAACAACATTATTCTTTTATAAAAAAATTAGTATCAATTTAAAATACATAATATTATATATTTGATATTTATTGAATACATTAATTTAAAACAATTTTTTTTTAAAAATATAATAATACATTGCCTACTGTCTTAGGAAGGAAGTTAAAAGGGAAAATATTACAGTGTAGAGTAATTTGATTTAAATCTATATACGTAACGATATAAACTATCGATAACGAAAAACTATTCTAAACAGATTGTTATTAGTCGTATTTGGTTCCCCGATTATTAAGAAAACTTCAAGGGCAATCAAATAATCACCTCCTCGATGTTGTACCGACTGGATCGAAAATTTTACAATAAGGTTCGTACACAGTTACGTATAGACACGAAACGTGAAAACAGAAATCAAAAAAACGCATAGTAAACCGATACATTTTTATCGCTTCGTTCAGAATCAAATTTATATAAGTATATATATATACACCTGCGGCTACCTCGAGTTTATAGCTTATATAGTGATTATAAATATTATAATATTGCAGAAAATATTCATGGGATAGGCGGTTTTTTTCATACGATTAAAAAAATAATAATGATTTTCTGAATGCATACAGCTATCATATTTGTATGGCGCACTGTATTTCGAAATAATCTCTACCTTTTTATTATTACTTTTGTCGCGCATTGGAGGGTTATTACAAACGTAAATAATTATAATAATTCCTCGTATTTCCATTACACGTATTGTATTAAAATTACATTTTTAATTTTTTTAATTTTATATACGTGAGTGGAATTATCATATCTACACATCGCACACCTATCTTTTTTTCTTTTTTTAAATAATGTAATGGATAATGGACGTGAAACTGTTTTATATATAGGTATAATATACGACGCGCATGCACGATGGGTATCATAATAATGTATACAACACCAATATTATTATAATATTTATGTTCGTATATGGATTATTATTTACACTCGCGCGTACTATCTAATCGTCTACACGCGCAACACGACCTGCACATTCGCATATATTATTATAATTATTATAATTTATATAAGCGATACCTATATAATATAATAAAGATGTATGTTTTATACGTATAGGCGTACATGCGCACAATGATGGCATTGCGAATACGCATTTAGTCATCGTTTTAACCGTACATTGTATTGACGTCATTATTCAATGGTCGGTAGATTACATTGCATTTGGCGAACATTTTCGAATTTTCCGACCGATATTGAAAAAAAAAAAAAAAAATCGCGTAACTTCGTTCGAACAAACGCACAAAAATTGAATACTAAACTTTTATTATAGAAATGATTAATCGAGCCTTAGATGATGATACTTTGGGAGGAATGCAAAAAGTATTTTGTAAGCGAATCAAGGCGTTCCGATAAATGATTTTTTTCCGGAATATTACGGGTACCCCATCATCATCAAACTAAACAAACAATCCTCTCCGTAACGATGCCTAAAAATGCAAACAGTGCACGAAGTAACGGTCCGATTTTACAAACAGAATTTCACGCCAGAATCTCCTCCCATCGTAATACTAAGCCCTTTAATCCTAGTATAAATTCTTACTATGCATATTTATATATAATTCAAAGAAACTCACCTCGGGTGCCTCAGAGAAAATACAAACAAACAAATTGGGCAGTGTTATCTATGGGTGCAGGCTTCTTCCGACGTATGTGTATAACACAACTGTAAATAATTTTTTATTGTGGCCGAAAGGATGATGCGTATATTTAATAAAAATAAAACATATAATATTCGAGTGATACAGGCACATTTCACGGTTTACTATACTTGCAAAGAAAAAGAGATACATTTTGTTCGAAAAGTTCAGATTCGTGAAGCCGCGGTCAAAAAATATGAAAATCAGACATATATATTACCGATAACATAAAGTATAATTTGAAATCGGTTAGGTTAGGTTCTTTTCTTTGGTTCCTGACATTAAATGTTCGGCGTTTTTTTTTTCAAATAAATCGGTATGAAATTTTGACTTTTTACACGGGTTTAAAATAACACGACGATTTACAAGTATTTTCACAAAAAAAAAACATTTCCGACGGAAATATTCGTTACAGTTGTTAAAATGTTAAGGTGTAATGTTTTTCTATATAGATATATATACACACCGTATTATGACGGGTTTTACGTTGGACCGCGGTACTTAACCAAAAAAAAAAAAAAAATAATAATTTTAGTCATTATATTGCACGACCGCGTTCTTCCGTTTTAACGCGACCATTAAATTACACGGGCTATACATAACGATCGTAAGTGCATAATAATTGCGTATAGCTATAAGCACATGAAATAAAGATGCGACCTATGTGGAGTATATTAATGAAAAGCTAGAAAATATATTATTTTTTAAGTGCGTATCTCCATAAAAGGACAATACATACGCGCAGCGATCTATTACGTTTTATTGTACTTGAACGGAATATAGCCTTTATTAGGAATAATTCGCGTGCGCCGTGCGCCCGTACATACTCTTATATATTTTTTATATAATGCACAATGTTTTTTTGGTATTCATTTTCCCGCGAATTGCATCATATTATGCGCCTCGCCGGTCGAAATTAACACACCGCCACCGTATTGTATATAATTCGATATTAAGTATAAAATCATTTAGCATGCGTATATATGTGTACACACACACACTAATGAACCGTACAATTATATTCGAAATACAGTACACCGTATCGGATTAATTATTAATTTCGCCGACTTGTAACGCGGACGAAGGGCGTTTTCGTGAAGGGTCTTACGCGGCCAGTGGCGGCGCGAACTATTGTTTTTACGAACGGGACAGCAACATGTCCGTTTGATCTATACCCGCACAGTTCCCCTACCACCACCCCCCCACCACCAACACGTACACACACGCACACGCACGCATACGCCCGCCGATTTTTATGCGCGCGCGCGCGGTCGCCGTCGCCAAGGTACGAGGACGACAAAGAGCTTGCGTACACCTCGCGCGGTAGATGGAAAAACACGTACCGACAGAACATTATGGTCTCTCGAACCAACGTGTGCCGGACGTTACGCGAAAACGGAAATCGCAATGGCGTAAAAACACCAAACTACAAACGTGGAAAAATGAAACTACGGGACGAGCGCGAGAGTAGAAGTCGACGCGCCCGACGGTCACCGGCAGAAATGACGAGCGCCGGGCGGCGATCGACGCCCATTCGTATCGCGTCCGCAGGGTAATGTGGTCGCGTCCGCGGCGCGTGAAAGGCCGGGCGCGGGGCGAAGTAAACAAGTCCGATCATTTTTCTACCGGTTCCAACTTGCGCGACACCGTCGACATGGTAAATTTACCGTATTGTTATGCGCAGAGTCTCGTAGACCGTTAATATTATTACATCCGATGATCGAACGCTGTCCGCGGTCGTTCCGCCGTTATTATTCACGTCGTTCGGCGACGTCCACCGACTACGGTACATACACGACTCGTGATACGGGGATACGGGTCAAGAAATTGTGAGAAATTCTCACAATAGTTTTTATCGTAACTATATTACAACTATTTACAAAACAACTAAGAGTAGGCGTGGTAGATTGGTTTCTAATAAACTGAAACTGAAACTGAACCTCGCTTCATGCCGATCAATACAGATCACGTAAATTTAAACTAAACAACCAGTATGGACACTGCGTACCTATGCCGATATTTTATACCGTCGTTTTTGATTTTAACAGACGTTAAAAGTCGAACTACGACTAACGCCTGATAGTATTGATTTACTTTTAGCTAACAATCAAAAAGCCGGATTCAATGGATCGGACAGCGTAATATAATATAATATTACGTGTAGATAACAAATAATATATAATCGTACACTCTATAGATTCTACCATTGACTATAATAAATTGAGTATTTACAAATCAATGGTTCTACTGATTCGTAACTGATGTAATCGCTTATACTGATTTGATTTTTCAATTACGTTGTCAACAACTTTTGGGAATAGTGAAAATAATCCTACCATATAACATATATGATTGTCAATTTTTATTCCATGCAATGTATTTAATATAAATTACAATATTTTATATATAATTGGATAACAGACACAGAGAATCCAAAGGGGTCGTGTACCATATGTCCCTAGGTACCTTAGGTCTCCCCCTCAATGGATACCCATGCTTAAAGAAGTATGTAATAGCGTGTTGTTTTCCGGTGGTGGTAAACTGTATTATCAGTGAAATAAAAAAAAAATAAATAAAAATAACAATAACAAAAAGATAAAAAGTCACTACTGATACACTTAAATATAAAATGTAAAAACCTAAAAACACGATAACGTATGCTTTTTTTAAGTAACAGTTTTAGTGGAATATTTTATGGACTGTAATATCGCGCCAATGTTAAATATAAACATTTAAATAATGTCCCTCGTTGATATGTAAACCATTAATTTTATGTAACAGTTATAGAATATCGCAGTAATGTTAATTGGTAGGTAATGTTTTTTTGGAACCCAAGTTTAACGTTACGACAGTGTTTTGTAACGTTCATTGCACAGTAGACGAATTATAGATGGAACACTTGACTGGAAAATTCGGCATCACGCTGCCACTGTTACACCCTGTCTTGTATAGTGTTTTTACTGCAATAATAACTCCCAGAACTTATTTTTCACTCTAAAGGATTCAGAAATTGTAAATAATACTTATCTCGCCTAACCCCTATGTATTCATTAAGGTGTTCGATACAAGCGTTTTTTGAATTGAAAAAGTGTCTTACCGGAAAACTCGCATGCCTCGTGAGTGGTCCAATTCCGAAGATTTTGTTTTTTTTTTTTTTTTTTGGAAAAAGAAAGACTCCCTTCAGTCGGCATATTTAACTCCATGGTTTCCCAGTATTTTATTCTCAAACGATGTAATACGCGCGTATTAAAAACAGATTGATTTTAAACTTTTAACTGACTTTTTTTACATGACTATTAGAATGTTGTTTCCCATCGATTAGAAAAAAAATAAATAGGTCTAGGGGACCTAGTATGGGTAGATTAGGTAAAATCGTATAGAAAATTCGGAAAACCTACACCGGGCTTAACGTAGGTGTTAACGAAAAGCCTTTAATAATATTTACACAGTTTTACAAATTTAAATATTTGATTGCGAAAAGGTTAAATAATAGTCATTATTGATTTTAATCAAATATATAGGCGTGCCGGGTGTGCCTGGTCACTACCCGAAAATTGTGTGTAAACATTTTTTTTTGCTATTATGTTGACATATGATAACATATTGGTACAAGTTTTATATTTTGTAAAATTGCCATCACTTTTTTTTTCCTTACTTTAAAATTTAGTTCATATGCATTTCGACTTCACTGCCAATTTCGTTCTTATCTTTTACAACCGTGTTACCAAATATACTGGCTTCATAGTAATTATCCAAGTTATTTATTTATAGACTACGACTATCGATTGAATATTACAAAGAAATTTTTAATTTTACTTTTTTGGAGAGTATATGATATTTAATTAGGTAATTGATATCGTTTTAAAAACCAATTTAATTTTTAGAATTAATTATCATTTTTTATTATCTATAGTATTGAAAGGTAATACAAGTTGATTGGGGGTAGGGGATTCACCTAATAAATTAATTTTTTCGGGCATGACCCGAACTTAAAGTTTGCGCACGCCTATGACCAAATACCTACAGTATAACGATGATACAGGTATCGACGATTCATAAAAACGATTTAAAAACGTTTGTCCGACCATCCGAGTGTTGAGAAACGTATCGATTTTTCTCGTATACTGCGAATTCGTAAAGGTACAAATATAATATACAATATAACTGCGTCCATTGTACACGCCCAAACGTAAAAGAAACATCAGATTAAATGCGTATCAATACTAGTATGTGCAATAGTGATCTTGACACGTGATCGTATCACGGTACACGTACAATACATCGGGCCAGCGAACCCCGTGCTAAAGTCGGACGCTGGCCCGACTTGTTTTAAAAATCATAAACATAAAAGCGGGCCGCCGAATTTCGGGACACATAGTTTGGTTGCGGCCGAACCGTAATCCTTAATCCTTTGCGCACTGAAGAAATAAAAACCCCTAGCTGACCGAAATTTCGGACATAAAATGGGCTGTCTACGTACGTTTACGGTTAACGGTGCGCTCCTTGAAACTCGCACAGACTGCATGTGTACGTTCTATTAGGACTTTGGCGCCACTATTTAGGCGTATATCGGGCCCACGAAAAACGGACGCCGTCGCGGGAGGCGCCGCCGCGCGTTGCACGGGAGCGCGCGTGTATCAGCAGAAAATCGTACACCGGATAATTGCACGTTTTCGACGGGAACACAAGGCACTTTCGCTGTATATTCACTTAATACGTTACATATAAGTGTACCGCAAGCGTATTATAATAATATAATGAAGACCGATAACACCTGCGCCGCGCGTCTGATTATATGGTATACCTATAGTAAATAACCCGACCGAATGAGCGAATATATATATATATATATGTCTAGTCGTAAACCTAAGTATTTTTTTTTTTTTCTTTTCCGTTCATTAAATCGATTGAAATCGCGTGCGGTGCGCTCACAGGCGTCATATTGTAGTTTTCGTCGGCCGATTCAAAACTGTATCTAACAACGTATGTACAACGTCGATAATACGCGATGATTGTTCGACCAACGTTCGCGAAAATCTCGGTATAAAAATATATTCAAGTATAATATATAGGCGGTGCACGGTGTTTTTTCTCGTTTATATACGGTCATACGGAACGCGCATGCATCATGCATCACGCGTCACACCGAGAATCATACACTACATAATATGAACAGTTATGATCCGTAGTCGTATAATAACTATTATGTATGTAAACAAATAAATAATAACGATGTGATATAACGAATTTTTTCCATACATCGTTTCGTGTACGATGTGTTTTCAAAAAGTCTGGGGACTTTTCGAGTTGCGCGCCAACGAAGCACCGTAGTGGGATTGTGGGATTGTGGGATCGCCGACTCTGTGACTCGACTCTTGAACACGTCAATTTTTGAAGATTCTCCATAACCGCTTCTTAGTTTCGATATAACCGGTATGTTATTGTAGTATATATTTTTCGTGTTTTCATAATTAATGACGAGCAGAACAAAATACAAACAATCCACGTGTACAATACACATATATAATATAAAAAATAATATCAGAAAAGTCATGGAATACACGGAATCGTAAACGAGACGCGAATAATTTCTCTTGTTGTAAGAATCGCGTAAAAGGGATTGCGGGAGCATAGCGGCGTTGCGTTGCGAGCATAGCGTGGCGTTTTCGACGTGTCCGTAATTTGACCGCCCCAAAAGTTGGTGTAATCTAGTGGCGTCTATGGGCTGATGCTCTGCAACGACTGATTTGTATCGAAGTTCTCTTCGGAAAATTGAAATCGGTTTTGAAAAGGAGAAAAAACTGTGTGTATAATAACGACGAATCGTTCTCGTCATATATTTTTGATTCGTCGCAGTCTTGAACCGCCGAACGGACAGAATAAAACGCGCCCGCGCGCGCGTGTACGGCACGTGCGTCGCGCGGCGTACAAACGCGTCGCGTCGGTTTCCAGAATCGCGCGCGCGCGGACAGCGACGCGGGCGGGCGCGGGTTATACCGGCGGCGTGCTCGGCGACGCGTGCTAATTACCGTGTCCGCGGGTCGCGGGTACGCGCCGAGTCGTCCGTCCGGTCGGTCCGCGGCCGCGTCGTCGTAACGGCCGTTCGTCAGAAAAAAAAAAAATAAAACCGCGCGCGTTGTGAACGTCGCCGCCGCAATAATAATAGCACGATTATTGTGATAATATTTTGCGCCACGCCGCTCCGAACGTGAAATATCGATCGTCGTCGGCCGGGCGACACCGGCGCCGCTTTCGGATCCGCGTGCGGCCCGCCCGCCCGCACGACGTCGACGACGACGACGACGACGACGACGCGGCGCGCAGCGGGTGAGGAGCACCGCGGCGGCGCTGCGGCCGGGGGCGTGGCTCGAGCGCCCCTATTTAATTGCGGTTTACGTCGGTCCGCGGGGACCGGGCGACGGTGTGCTCGCGGACCGCGGGCGGGCGTGTCCGTCCACTGGCCGCCGGGGCCCCGACAAGCGCCGCCCACTTGTAGCGGGACGCCGTCGCCGCCGACCGGTACGGCCGAACCGTTCGCGATCCCGAAACAGTCTACGCACACTGTCCGATTCGGTATAATCGTCGCGACCGCGCTCCCGACCGTTACCCGTTTGTTGCTATTATCATTATTAAATTGTTTTTATAATTTTCGTTTTTCGCTCTCGTCCCGAGCGGCGTACCAGCCGTATTGCCGTTCGTACCGATTTATTGGCGCGCACGATAATAATAATTCGTCCGACCAAACAATAACGGCGTAATATTAATACAAGTTTTTTTTTTTTTTTTTAATAAAACAATTACGCGCCTAATAAAAAAAATTAAAGTCGTCGCCAGTCATTTCGCAACATTGTACTATGCGTTTGGCCGCGCGGATCGTGTTGGCGGGCGTCCGCAGTTAAATCGCCGTGTCCGCGACGTTCATCGCATTGTATCGTAACGATACACTCGACGTCCAAAACCTGCACGGCACGACGAGGAGCGAAACCCCCGCGGTCAATATATCGCACAAGTGTAATACCGTCGCCCGGCCGTCATGTTGGCCGACTATCCGCTGTCCCGCGTTCCCGGCGGACCGCTTTACAATACGTCGGTGGTGAGTTCACGTGCACATAATAATATAATAATATTTGTATGCCATACGCATTTACAACCCGATGACAGCAATCGCGCGTTACCATTGACCGGGCATAGGGACGATTGTAAATGGGGCCGCGATTATTTGCGAAAATCGCATCGAAAATATATTTTTTACGTCCGCCAGTATGTATGCGTGCAACGATAAAATTAATTTATGCGCAAGTAAACAGTCGGCAACACAGGTTACTAATCAACTTTGTTAAAACCATTTACGATCGCCCCACCTGACACTATCCATTCGCATATTTATTTATCGCGGTTTGGAAAACGGCGGCGGTGTTTTTTTCGACAAAATTTCGCGAATTACTATCGGTTCATCGGGGACAAACCTCGCCAAACATATTGTTCATATTTGTTTCTATTTACGAACGAACGTGACGTCCGAACAACCGGTCGTTGTGATATCGCGTCGCCGAAAGTTTCGTCGATAATGTTTTATAATCGGCCACCGTCGTTATTTATTTACAGGTAAAGCGATACGGTACGTTTTCATAAGTTCAGCATTATAGGGGATAGTACCTGCATAATGTTGTTAAACCGAAATATATAGACAAAAGGCAAGTATCGACGAAATCGACGTTCATCACTCTAACCGCAGTCAAAATGTATAAAACAGTACGAATAATATTATGTTTAGACCGCAAACGCGTCGTTCATATAACGTATAGCGAACGGTTTGCTCTTCGCGATAATTCCAGACCGTTATTGTGATTGACGAAAATATATAATGTGATTTACCATCAATTTGAGACGAAATTCACTTAAATTCAATGAAATTCATTCATTTATATACGCCTCTATCTGGGCAATACCCTGTTCGCCCGAAAATGGCATTTCGCTTTACGCCCAAATATTTGAAAACTACTTTTCGTTTTCGCCCAAGAAAATTATATCACTTTTGACAATATTTGTTTAGCATGTACTTTGGGAAACGCTTACTTTGTTTTTATTCGTGTAAATTAGAAAATTAAATTTGGCGATGGATATTTGTTAAACCGTAAGAGTCGTGATTGTGTGCACCAGTTGTCGAAATAAAAATATCATTCTTGTCCGAATATATATTAACGCTCTACACGTTCTCGTAAGACATCTCCAACGGGTAGAGCCGTCGTTTTTACTTGTCGATCCAAAGTTATATTTAAAATTATTACGCACTTCCATACGACATCCTCGTTTACTTCTAAGGATCCCCCGATTTGACTGATAAATCCGTCGACAATATAAATTGAAATTTACCGAAATATATTACTAGAAATCGCGATAATTTTGAACTACTGAAATTATTTCCCTTGCAATACATTCACGATACACAATATTACGAACAGCGTAAATCAAAATAAAACTCGAAACGCGTTCTTTTGCATAACGCAGTGCCAGTGTTGTGCGCAACGTTGCAAATGATGACGCGCGTGAATCACGGGCCCGACCCATTAAGCGCGAATCTATATTACCTATTGTTAATTGGGTGTTATTACAATAATAATTGTAATTGAACAGTTATAATATGTCATTATTGTTTTGCGCGTAAAAACCGTAGCCTTGAACGGATTGGTTTTAAAATTAACCTTTTCTCATCGTGTCATCGACGGACCGTCGTGTGTTTATATAATACAATGTTATAGGCATTATACAGGTGTGTGTTGAGTATAGTTTACTTACAACACACTCATAATTCGGCTATATTATATAGGCACTCGTACAGGAATGGCTGATAATATTATACCGTAGTCTCTTCTCTCTCTCACTCTCTCTCTCTCTCTCTTGTCGCGCAGTATATATTAACACGTTTCGAGTGCACTTAGCATGTCCGCGGCTGTCCGGTCTGTAATAATTGTTCGTCTACATGTATACGCGCCTCGTACACGACTATAACGATATTATATAAACCACAGAAAATGTATAATTCAACGCATATGGTAATAATATATATATATATATAGTAGGTATACGCATACCTGGCGTTTGATCGCAAGACGATAAAATATCGTTTTTCGTCCGTTATTTTGACGGGATACCACTATCACAACAAGATATAATGTACACCTACGCCCGCGACAAAAACCAATAATCGACCAAAATAATAGACATGGCGGTTGTGTATTAGGTATTTTGATTTTTGTTTTTCAATTCGTTACAGTTTTCACCGCGAAAGGATTCTCGCGGTGTAATATAATATACGACCGCCGTGATCCGTGCGAATAAATCGTACAATCGTTTTTCCGTTACGATGTGTAATGATGGGCGCGCCATCAAATGCGACAACGGGAACGATTCGAAAGCCGGATTAAAATTAAAAAAAAAAAAAATCGGCCGGTTTTTCGCCGCGTAATTCGCAGACCGTGTACAATATAATGTACTGTGATATAATTAACTGTGCGTACGATTTTTCGAGACGTGCAATTACCGTCTAAAACCGTTCGTCCGAGTCGTCGTCTATTAATTATGTTAAGCGAACGATGTGGGAGCGGGTGCACGGCGAGATATGGGGACGAAGGGGTAAACACGTTAATCCCGCGCGCCGTCGGCCGAGTGTTTCTCGTACGAGAAACACTTCTACGTGGCGAAAAACAATATGCGCACACGCATATACGTATATACGTTCGTGAAATATATCGGTCGGGAAAACATGACGTTTTTGTAATGCGTTTTTGTGCGTTTTATACGATTTACGCGCGTATATTGTACATTTATAGCCGGGTGTATTATATCGTACACGTCCGAGAGCGGTGCATAGGTATACACATTACAAATGTATACACGTGTAAACGACTCGTAATATGTGTTCTCGGCGCGGCTCGGGATCAAAGGGCCGCGGCCCGGCGGGGGTGCGAATCGTAAAACGAGCCTCTAAAAATTATTATTGTATACGGGGAGAGAGAGACCGGGAAAAAAATTATCGAAATCGCGACGCGTTATGTTATTATTCTTATAATATACGCGCGTATTATAATATTATTATTATATATATTATACATTGTTATATTACAATTATTATTGTACGCGATACTGTTATTATTGTTATTATTACTATATATTTTTATATTATATTGTCGTTTTTGCGCCAAAAGACGCCGCCGCGCCTTTATGACCGCGTCTCGCGCCGCCTCGCGGAGGAAACGAAAACATCGCCGAAAATCGATGTGGTATAAGCGTTAAAATTTTTGTCACCGTCGTCGCGTTTTCGTGTACGTTTCGGACACATCGAGTTATTTATCGGTTCCAATTACATGTTCGTACGTAGGTGTGTGTAAAATGTTCTCACCCCGTATGTATAGCCGCGCGCACCGTATTCGAGGGTGCGTTCGGTCTCGCGCGTTATTATTATACCGCGGCAACTGCGGCTATCCGCGCGATTTTTTTTTTCTCTCTGAAACCTTACACCGGCCGCCGCGCGACGTATACTTTACACACGAGTACGCGAAAAACGCGTTAATTTTCGAGAAATATCGGTGTAAAAAGGTACCCGCAGTTCGAAAACGTCCGCGGGAAAACGCCGTCGCCGACATCTCGATTGATTCGCGACCGGCGGCGCATGTACCGCGCGTCGGAAAATCGGAATTTTCCCGTTCCGCGGGTCCATGTCCATACTCGATTGCGAAGCCTTCGATCCTCGGTCCTTCCGCGAGTCCTTATTTTATAGGTTCGACTGTTTTATTTTATTTTCGGCCAGAGACGGCCTCTGGTTCAGGGGCGTTTGAATTCAGTTCCCGGAGAATAGCGCTGTCCGCCACTCGATTCGTCACCGTTTTTTCGTACGCATTCGAACGGCACGGAGACATTTTGTCGAGAGCGTTCCGCCCGGCCGTCGCGTTTTAAGCCTTTTCAAGCTCGCCCTACAACGGCGCCGGTATAATCCGCGCCGACCGCGGGCCGCGACCCCGTCGAACACGCGCAATAAATTTTTTGCCGAATAAAAATCGCTTTTTAACGTCTCTTTCGGGCCATTTACGCGTACAGTGTCGACACCAAAAACAATACAATCACGGCGTTTACTTCGGGGCGGTACGGCGAGAGAATATCAAATTATTATCGCGTATATCGTACAATTATTATATAGGCGTATAAAGATAGCTCGGTACATTTGGGAGCGGGACGAATGCTGCAGTAGCCTGTAATGTCAACACGTACACACTTCAGTACGGTACACGGATATCCAGACATCCGTAGTTGTAATGTACCGCGTATTATTGAATTTTATACGAAAATATGTGTCCACGGCGGAACGGGCGGTTTTTTCGAATGATTCCGGGCGTTCGCGATCCGACATCATATACGGATCACGAACATTGTATACATGTATACATGTATATACATCGGTCTTTTCCGTATTTTCTCGTATTTACTATCCGATACAGGTTAACCCGCGCGTATCCCTGCGCGCATCGGATAGCGCGATATAGCGCCGCACACCGGCCCGTTATAATTCACGGCGCGCGTACATAGACTTTTGAACGCGCAATAAATACCGAGTGGTGACGCGTATACGTGGTGATACGCAATACAATGTAATACAATCGACGAGAATACGATAATGATACGTTTTATATATCGAATATATCGTATTGTACAAATAACGTGTACAAAACCGCAAGAAAAAAAAAAAGAAAAAAAGGGGTTTTACAAAAGACGAAAAGTGTTTCTCCGGGCTTATATCGCGTGCGTGCGTGCGTCATGCCGCGGTGCCCGCCGCAAGACTCGCGATTCCCGTGCATTGTACGGGCGCGGGCATACGATGCTTCCCGCTGATATTATTCCGTGTCGCGGCGGGTGTCGGGATTGTCGTGGCCCTCCTCGGCGAGATATACGACGACGACGACGGCGACGGCGACGTGCGATTGTCCTCAAAACACACCGTGTGATGTATCGTACGAGCGCGCGCGAGTGTTATTTATACGCCTCTGGTCAGCGTGGGAAAGGGTCCGAGAAACGGTTTTTGTGCGCGGAAAAGGACGGGGAAAACATCGGCGCTACCGCCGCCGCGGCCGCAGTGCCGGCTCGTGTTGTGCGCCGCGACGGCGGTAGACCGACCCAGATATCGTAAATTTCCGACGCGCGTTTGTACAATGCAACGTCGAAAAAATGCGGTTTTTACAATATAATAAAAACATCCGTATCGCCCGATAATAACGTACGGCGTGTGTCCTGTTATTCTGTTAACGGAAAACGCACGCCTCTGTACCGCGATATTGCGCGTATTGTAATAATAGTATAATGTATAGGTAACGGGTTTTTCGGAAGCGGTGGGTGTCGACCGTTCGGGTGGTACGTATATATTCACGCATTATGCCGACCTTTATTATTATTATTATTATTTTTTTTTTTTTTCGGATACATAAACCCTTACCCTGTGTCCCGGCGGCACGTATATATGCCGTTAACACCTTGTACGCATAACGGGAAAGAGCGCGATAATAATAATATTCCCGCAGCAACACAATACCCTGTACACACATTATATAATATTATAAAGTACCGTAACAGTCAAAAGGATAACGCATTATAACCGATGTATACGGCCGTCCGAAATGACTTTTCGAGTCCGAAACTGTCGGGCGTCCGCATTCGGGGCGACGATAACGCGCGAGTCCGACGGGCCATACAGCCACGGAATAAAATAGAGCGACGATTTACGACTTGTCTATAGTCCGAAAAACAAGACTGAGTCCGGCCGTCGATATAATCGGTGCACGCGAATCGCCTCCCTAGTCCAGGTAGTAAATATGTTTTCATTCGAATCGCCTCCGAAACGTACGGAGGCGATTCGAGTACCCGGCCTACATGCATATACTAGAATATTATCCCTCTCTCTCCCCCCCCCCATTGCATACCTATAGTCTACTGCGTTGATTCAATCAAACATCGATATTGGAAATTATTACAGTAACTATTTGATAATGAATAGGTACACTGAAGCGTATACATGATGGTGTATGGCGAGGATTTGACTGATTTCAATGTAAAATATTATAAAATTTTCTCGATACAACGTTCCGTATATATGCAATTGATATTATACTATCTGTATACGAGTATTATCTTTCTGTAAATTAATATCAAATTTGTGATAATAATGCATTATCACTGTTCAATACCTAGTATAATAACTACAGTAATTATTATCTATTTATTATATCGATTAATCTGGCCTTATATAGGAAATGAATCGAGTAGACTATTCGATGTGGCATCAGGCAATTCGAGTTAACAGTAAATTTTAAATCGGGAGGCGATTCGAGTAACCATCTTGTTTTGAAAAAATGTACGGGAGGCGGCGACTCAAGGGATCAACGGGAGACAATTCGAGTGTGCCCGATGTAATAATGTACGGTTTTTTTTTCATTTCTCCTGAACGATATTACGGAAAGTAGACTTATATTTTATTCTCGGGTCGTTGCGCTCGAGCCCCCGTCAATTTCGATAGGACAATGAAAACCTATATTGACGTTCGTATAATATAATCATCATCATTAACATACTCGCGTTGTAATTGAAAAAGGTTCGAAATTATATCCTTCCGTTCAACGATAAAAGAATTAAATAGATATCTAAGAATCCGAAAAAGTCTTGAAAAAAAAAAAAAATAAATAAAAATATATACGTACTTAAATTTCCATACAATTGGCTTTGTTTTTTTTTTCCATATATTATTATGTCTCATTTGACCCGTTCGTACACGTTATCAGCCACGTATACAGTATACGCGATAATAACGATTTAAAATTTTAACGAAATACTGCTGAATATTATAGAAATGCGTTTGATTTTTATAATAAAAAAAAAAACATAAATAAAACCTCGCATGCGTAAGAAATACGCCGGCGCGTTCGCCCGTGAAAGTGTGAATAAACCCCGTGTGTTTTTCTCTATTTGAAATATGTTTCAGCAATAGCGTATACATTATAACCTACCTAGAAGTATAAAACTCGTTTTTTTTTTTTGTGAAATTATAATAAACGAAATTTCGTCCGCGCGATAATATTATGGCCCCCCCCCCAAAAAAAAAAAAAAAAAAACCCCCCACAACCCCCCTTTTTTTTTTTTTTTTTTTTTTTTTTTATAACGGAGCGTAGTACGCGCGCACAAACCGCTGCACAGCGTACGCCGCCGCGTATTATTTATGCACGCGCGAATCAAAAACCATACCGGGTACGTAATATCTTTACGACGTGCACACTGGCGACTGTCCGAGGCCGGCTCGTTTCGTATTGTTACCCGCGCGCAATACCGTCCGACCGCCGTTATATTCATTACGCCCGCGGTCGGGCGCGACCACCGCGCCGCGGCGATCGGACGAGCGCGTAACGCACGCGGAAAACCGCCGTCGGAACAAACATTAACAACTGCCGGAACGCGCATCGTTCGCGGGCACCCGTGAGCCGCGGTAACAGCGCCGCGTCGACGTCGACGTCGGACCCAGTTGGCCGTCGCTCGGCGGTTTTCCTCTGGACGGCGCTCCGCACCCGAAATACCGTTTTCGCGCAACGTATTTTCCACGAGCGGACCGGGTACAGCGCGGACACGAACGCCCGGTTGTTATCGTTTGGCGTACCGGCCGCCGTGGTTTTTGTTCGGTTTACCACGCGGATTTCTCAACGGCTGGATGAAAACCCGTATTAGTGAAACGGGAGAGTGTGATTATTTGCGATTCGGCGGTTTTCGGTTGGCTGATTGGTAGGTATCTGAGATCACGCGTCACACAATACGTCTTGCAGTATTAGCCTTTTTGATCTATGGACTCGAGCGTTTGACATTCACGCGGCGAAAATTGTTTTTGCTGGGCAGAAATGTTTCGCGGAGTTCGTTACAAGTTGGACGTTGTGTAGTTTTTTTTTTTTTGTTACACGCGCGGTTTAAGTTTTGATTTTAACGAAATTCGTGCAAATCATACGGCGTGTCAAAACGTGCAAAACCGGACTTCGCTCGAAACCGTACGATTTACGCGGTCGCGGACTGCACACAATATAAATTGAATAACTCTCCTATTTCCTCAAATGTCCGTCTACTGTGATGGCGCGCGCCTGTCAGCTGCACGGCAGTCTCGGCTCTCGTTATTCGCGCGTTTAAACTCCGATTTTAATATTATAGGTTTTTTTTTTTTTTAATAAGTGAAACGTTCACGTCGCTGTAATTTTAATATATACGCGTATATCCTTGGACGCCGAGCCTAATGACTTACGCGTATGCATACGAGCGCCGACGGTTCGGACGTTTACGTTATGATTTACGACTAGGTGCGTATATATGTATATATATAAACATCGTGTACGTGTCATTGTTATAACGCGTAAAAAACATTTCCCGGTGTATCCGATAATCATTTATTCACGAGTATTTTGGATCGTTCGCGAAATTATTGTATAGCGGTCGCGGTTGTCCCGAGGTTGATACCGCTATTTAATGGTATACGACGCTGCACGTTGCCGTGTGACGCGTTCGGTCAGTAGCGGATTTACTGGTGGGGATGGGGGGGGGGTCCAGAAGGTCACTGATATGATTTCATTAAATTTGGTCCGAAAAAAAAATAGGCATCTTTTAACAGAAATACCTTTTAAATACATATGATTTTTCAGTACCCCTACCGGAAAAATGTTGAAAATCCGCTATCGCGTTCGGTTAGACGACAAAGTATACGATTTAGATCCGATCGCTAAAATTATCCCAGAAACGGAACATGTACGGATCCGAATTCTACAGGAAGTGCAAGAAAAAAACTGGCACGTGTCCTGCTGGATTTACTTAAATGATATTAATCCCCGTAACGATTAATACGGCTAATAAATTGTGATCAATTTCAAATGTTCTCCGGACGATTATCGCACAATTCGCAACATCGCTGCTATATAAGATATGATGATTTTGCGGTTGGCTGCAAGCTTCAGATTTCGCTTTCGGATCGCATATAGTTTTCGCAACAGCTGAAAATCCGAATCGATCAAAGTTCGAGAATCTTCTTTTTCCCTGTTCGTCTTAAATGAATCAAACATTCTATTGTTATTAGAAATGTATTTAAACAACAATGGAAAAATCAAAAACAAATGCATAACTATCCCCGCATTGTTGTAGCCATAAAACGATTTCGATTGAACCGACTTTGCCGCGGCTTAACCGTTTATTTGGCCGATTTAACCGAATTAACCGAAATTGCGGAATTTGGACGAGACCGATTTAATAGGCCGGTTTATAAAAATAAAAAATAAAAACTTGTCTGGCCGGACTGTTCGAAAAAGTTTTATTCGCATAAATGGAAATATCCTAGTAGACACGCGTACATTTTTCGCGATTTTTACAAGTCGTATATTATATCAAAACGTCAACTTTAAAAATTTTGACCTTAGCTTGACTTTTTGTTTTTACCAATTCAAACATCACAGACACGACCATCTTATTAAATTGCCGAGCATTTTGACGGTGTTGAAATAAATTAAATCCGCATAGATCGAAAAATAGTGTTGTAGTATGTGCAAGCCAGCTAGGCGTTGGTAATTTTTACGATTTTAATCTGCACGTCAAACGCGTTTGTAAAAAAAAAAAAAAAAAAAATGTTTCGCCTCGTCGAAAAGTAAAATTTGCATTGTGTGCAGTCTATTATAATTATTATATGTATTATATTATATACCCTATAGGTTATACTCGGGTTAAGTATATTTATTTCTCGGCGTAATTTAAACGCACACACCCGCAACCGTTAAACCTACTTTGCGTAAAAAAAAAAAAAAGGAAATAAGCGTTATGATACTTAATGAGTCAATTATATTATAGTTTTTTATAATAATAATTTAGTTCTCATATTATTCATGAAACTCGAAAATTCGCTATACAAGCAAAGCATTATATACATCATATATACAGTTTTCCCCCGAAAGCTCATTTATAATAATTACTCGTATAATAATCTTGTAAAAAAAAAAAAAAAGAAATAAGAATAATAATTGGATATATGCAAATTATTTTTATGTATTGTTGGTATTATTATAAAAATAATATTTTCTTTTTTTTCTTATACTTACTTTTTCCTACGTTGTTTGCATAAGTTTACATACATACACAATATAAGGTTTGAACTCGGGGTTTACAGTTAACAGACGTATTCAATTTTTGCCCAAAGTAAATTATGTCTGGGACGTGAGCGTGTACGCAACGATTTTTAATTTTTTAGATTCCGAATGTATACAGAGTTTTACACAAATTATTTCTTTTTTCCCTCGGGAAAAATTTTTTCGGTTAGTAAAAACGTACTAATTCGTTCGCGTCGTATTTCATAAACGACGCGGACATTCGCTCGGCCGCGTGCTTTTCCATTTGAACGATTTTACAACACGGGTTTTCTGAAAAAAAAAAAAAAAACATGTCGAAAACCCCGGCAGTAAACGTCGACGATATATACGATTTTATTTCTGTAGATTTCTGCGGGACATTAAATTATGTACCTTGACGACACGAGGGCATCGAAACCGCATTATATTTATGTTGCTATATAATATTCTTACGCGAATGGAAATGCGATTCTGCGTGTCCGTTACTATACCGATTAAGTGCGGAAAGACAGACTCTACGACAATACCGATATTTCGGACAAGGCAATACGAATATTGCCGCTTATCGGGAACAGATGGGAACACGAAGACGGACACGGCAAGAAGAAGGAGATAATTCTTTGTAACCGATTATGCCGAACTCCGCTCTAAACTGTAAATCGCCTGATTACGATACGTCCGTGCACAGGCGCAATTAAGGTAAAAATTCTGACGGAGGGGAGGGCTATAGCCTCAAACATTTACTTCAATTTGAAACACAATATTGTAATACATTATATTGCAATCCCGAAAACAAATACGAACAGTTATCATAAAATATATTAATATACCTAAGTAACTGTATCCGTCGTAACGAGGGGTAGGAGCAATTCGGAACACTGGAGAGACTTATCCCCTCGAGCCCCTTCCCCCCCCCTATTTGCGTCTACGCGGTCCGCGAAACTGTTATTCCGATCGCGTCATAAACAATATTATATCGGCTCCTCCGTTAAATAATTACGTTAATACGCAATAACAACAACAACGACAATAGTCTAAAGCAAACGTCAGGACGTCGGGACCGTCGCCTCCGGGCGCCACAAATAAAAAAAAAAAATAAATAAAAAAAAAAATTACATTATCCGTTGCGGCGGCGGCCTGATTGCGCAGACACGATTTCGGCGCTCGAGGGGCTGCCGCTAATTCCCGGGCGCGCGGTCGCCCCATTGTTCGCCGAGCCTTTGATTTCGTTTCGTTTCGTATTTTATTTTATTTTTTTTATTTTTCCTCTGCGTATACTCGTACGTTCTTCGCGGCCGCGTATACACAACGACGACGACGAGACGACGGGCTCGCGCGCACGCACTTAAATCATATTTATTATATTTTATTTTATAATACTCTCGCATCATTGTCAGCTCGCGTAGAACGTGCGCCTCCTCGTCCTCCTCTTCCTCCTCCTCCGCGAGACGGTTTTCGGACCGCTATCAAAATAATAATTGCGGTCGATAAAGACTGGAACGCGCACGATGGAAACCCGGTCGGCGGCGGCGGCGGCTGCACGCGATTATTCTATAATTCACTTTGTATTCGCGCGGCCCGCAACATAAGCAGAGTACCTATATATCCCAACGCAGCCCCTTTTCATTCTCTGTTGACGTTTCGCCCGTCAGACCGTTTGACACTTGAATGCCACGGCCCTACACACACACACACACACACACACACGTGTACGATCGTCTCTTTCCGACAAAACGTACCTAATAATAATAATAATAATAATAATACTAGTAATAACAAATGGAAACCGAAAATACCCGAAACGAGAATTTAAAACCGTCTTCGCGAATCGCACGATGCGAAGGACGAAATCGGCCGGATTAACGTCAGCATTATTATTGTTATTATTATTACGTTACGGCGCAGAATTGAAAAAAAAAAAAGGTGGCCAAAAGTGATTTTTGAAATTTTCAAAAAATTACAAACAATTGTACAAAAATACTTTCCGCGCATTCGAAAACGTCTGACTGTTAATCAAAAAAGTAACATTTTACTTTTCAAATATATGTTTGAAGACAAATTATTTTTTTTTTTTTTTTTGTTTACCTATAAAAATGTTCGTAATTTCGGTAATTTTTTAAGTTTTCGTACGCTAGGGAATACTATGGAAATACAATTAATATCGGGGGGGGGTTCTTTATCAGTATAGAGACTATTAGTGTATTTACCGTCATTATTATAGAAATATTATATCTGCACTGTTAATAATTATAGCGATAACAGATTAATATTCGTTATAGCTTCAGCTATATATACATTTATAATAACGTACGGTTTCAACCAGTTCTTTCACCGACCTTCACGCCAATATATATTTCAAATATCTACGAGGTGTATATACAGTCGGTAAATGTTTAGATAAGTTGCCCATATTTGCCCCTTGAAAAACTGTAATACCGTGTTGAGTTTTAGCCGCGTTTTTTTTTTCAATTTTGAACGCACAGTGCGGCGGCGCGGTTTTCGGTTTTTAAATTTCGATTTTCCACCGCGACCTCTATACCGCACGTTTGGGCTTTTCGATTCGTCGTCGCGTTCTCTCGGTCAAGAGCAGGGGCGCAAGGCGACTGTGAACCTGCGGTTTACCCGTTATGGCCGGGGTTACCCGAGCGCGTCCGGAAATTACCTTTTTTTTTTTTTTTATTTATGTCCCGGGCGCGTCCCAATAAAAAAAGATTCATGTTTTTTCAATGTTGCCGCGTTCCAGTTCGTTGAGAGTTATCCGAGGTGCACCACGAGTATTACGGTAATTTCTTTATCTTGAATTACGCACATTATGACTGTGTTATAATAATTTTTTGAGCGCCATATCTACTGTACACATTGCACTAAAAAATCGCCGCTCTTTTCAATAAACTTGTACCTCGCATTCGAGTCCATCCACGATTCGGGAAGTTCCCGAGAGTAGAGTTTTCCGTCGAAATTGACGGGTTTCGGTGTATTATCACGTCCGATATATCGACCCGCGATGTCGTTTAAGGGACTCGGTGTCAATCGTTCAAATTTTCTTTTTAAAGGAATGATTTTCTTTAGGTATATGTAAGAAAGTTATACAAGTAAATTGAATAAATAATGAAAAAAAAATCTTTTCGGTATGTAATGGCTAGGGATATAAGATTTTCCAACCGATCTACTATACCCGATTTAGAGGACGGAATCGTTTTTAATGACGATAGTGACTTCGCGTCGATTCTACACCGAACTGTACCGCCATTTCCGCGAGTTTTCGTGGGCTTAACGACATTGATACCGGGCGCCTTATCCCATATATACATAATAAACGTTACGGTTTATGCTGTGGTTAACGGTGTTGAGTGTTTACACATCTTTTGTGTGCGAAAATCGCGAACTGTTACAATTTTTTCGAAACCGTATCGCGTCTCGCATAACAAGTTTTAAAACGCCGGAAAAAAAACCAACGTTTAAACGCAAACGATATTCTCACCTTGAAGTTCGATAATATAGGCCAATATACGTATATGCATGTATATATATATGTACATTTATACTAGCTCTATAATGTATCGAAATCGACGGCGCGAAATAGGCCGGCACGAACGAACGAACGACAACGCCGACCGATTCCGCAACGTTTACCGTAACACGTATCGCAGTACTATTCGCAGTGAGCGTGGCCGTGTGCGTCGGGCGCGTGAAAATCACGTCGTGGGCGCGGGTTTCGCGGAAATCGATTCGTCTTGTTCCGGGCCGGAACGCTCGCGTACGCGTACAACGATATTGTATAACGTGGTGCGCGGACGAACGACTTGGCGGCGCGGTGCGCGTGCGCGCGACGCGTTCGCATGTCCGTCGGCCATACACCGTGGGAAATCGCCCGGGGATTAATTGTTTTTAATAATAATAAATAAAAAAAAAAAAATAAAAAAATAAAAAAATAAAGGAAAAAAAAAAATACCGATCGCAGAGCGGCGGGTCGTTCGTACCACGTATACGCAATGTTATTATTACAATATATTCGGTTGCCCGAATAATTTCGACGAGACGGACGATTACGGCGCGTGTGCGCGGCAGGACGGAATACCTAATAATATTCTCATTCATAATAATCATAATTCCGCCCGATATTATAATAGCGCCGCGTTCAAATAACAACCGAAACGGCCGCCCGGGGACATAATTAACCGTCACGTTTTCTTATTAAAACCCGATATTTGTGTTGGGTCTTATTTATGTGGGCATATAGCGGCGGGTATAAATATATGTACACGTATGTACGGAGGCACATACGCAAGACGGGACGATGACTTATATACGGACGTTTCGTCGGTCGCTTCTGTTTTTCGCTTCTGTATATTATTGTGTGGCTGCTGTACACCTAATATACGTTTCGTTTATGTTTATTATTATTTATTTTTTTTTTTTATTTTTTTAATGTTGCCGCGCTCGTCCGAACCACCGATATTAATAATAAATTCGGAATATAATTAGAAAAAAAAAAAAAAACCAACGTACGTTTCAAAAATAACCGCGGGGCCCGTCGAGTGGAATGATAAAATATTATTATTATTATATCGGGTAGGTAGCCGCCAGTGTACCTATAAAGGATGACACGGAATATTACCAACGCCGTAATAATATTATTATATTCGCGCTCGTTAAAAAAAAAAAACAACATGTAAAATAACCGCGAGTTGCTACCGCGCATGACGGGGGCCCGCGGGAAATGATTCATCGGAGTGGGGTATAATAAAATCAAACGCCGAGAAGTAATCGAAATAAAATTATATTTTACATTTTAAAAGTCCCGGGGGAAGACGGGCAGACGTCTCGTCTTGACTGCCCCTCAACGCCCCCCGTGCTACCGCGTATTAATATCGTTTGATCCGTTATGGAATTATGTTCGGAAAAATACCCGTTTACGGCGTACAGAGTACGAGAGATCCGAGGACAATATATGACACTGCGGCATAAACATTTGTCGCGGAAAAAATTATTCGTTTTTTTTTTCCGTCGATGGAAATTAAAAAAGAAAAAAAAATGTCAACGTCTAAATGTATTTAAACTGTGTTCAAAAGCGGGAAGTGATTTCGACCTTCCCCTCCCTCACGTTACAGAAAATATAAGGGTGACCTAAAATTTTAGAACTGTTGTTTTCTAAAAAAAAAAAAAATAATAATAATAATAATAATTCCCAAGCAAGCCGTAATATTAACATTAATACGATTCTGCTGAATAGATTTTGAAAACATCGGGCAGTAATAATTTTCGTCGGTCCGTCCCAACTTGAAAACCGACGGTCGGAGAGGTATAATAGTTCGATCGGTACACGAGACGGACCAGAGATGGATCTGAACCATATTTAAGGGGAGGGGGGTGGAGTGAATAGGAATATTATTTTATGAACTCTGTGTGAGAACAGACGCGACGACTCGACCAACGTGACTGAAGCAATTTTAATCGTAAATATCGGTTACGACAATGCAGCTTTGCGTTTATTCATACAGTTGTTTCATTCGCGAACCCGTCGGTGATTTTTGTTTTTTCCCGTCTGTTTTCGCCCGTTCGCCGTGAACGCAACGGACGGTCATGTCGGGTTTATAACGCGCGCACGTAATGCAGCACACGCGGCGGGCCAGCGCTCGGCGGCGGCGGCGGTGAGCAAGCGCGTGATAGAAATAAGACTCGTATTTGCGCTACGGAACGTTCCGGGGGAAAAAAAAAAAAAAAAAAAAAAAAAGGGTCCGAAAATCTAACAACGGCGCCGCGGCCGGACAATATTATTGTATTATTGTCGTGGAAATTCGCGGGGCATTTAAAACCTATTCGCGAGACGGACGATATTGTTGGGCATTGTTACGTTTTTGTCGTGCCGTCGCGCGCGCGGTTTCGTCCGATTGCCGCGATAATATTCGCGTACACACACACACACACACACGCATGCATACATATTATACACACGTCGCACAGTACACGAGCGTTTCGACCGGCGCGTCGAAAAAACCCCGACGTTTTCAAGCCCGCGCGCGGAACCGTCCCGGATCGCGTTTTCGAGTGAAGTTTTCCATTCGGCACGACGCGGTTTTAAGGTATGCGCCGTGACCCGTGCAGCGACGTGGTGCGGTCGGAAACGAACGGGCACCCGTTACCCGGCTCTCCGAAAACGCGTTTTTCTCTTTCTTTCTGCGCGACACAATGTCGCGTTCGTAATGTGCGCACGCTTGCGACGGCGCCCGCGTAAATCGGTAGCCGGACGGAGAATAAAAAAATAAAATAAACGACCGACGGTCCCGCCGCGTATAACGAATAACGTATCACGCATATGATTACACAGGCGCATGCGTATAATGTGTGCCCCCGATGTTATTGTAGAATTTTAAGAGAGAGACGGAGACCGCGGACCGCGACGCCGGACGAAACGTTGGATTCACGACGAACGTTTTGCCCGGGAACGCGCGTTTATATTTTATTATTATTATTATTATTATTATTATTTTTTTTTTTTTGTAAGCCAAAGGCTAAACACGTCTCGTCCAAACGCTCGTGTGTATGAATACGGGTGCCTATACAGTAGAAGAGGTTCGCAGTGTTTATATCTTTGACGGTGTGTGCGCCGTCGAACGATAATTATTCATTGTGCGTGCGTGTAAAACATACGTACGGTAATATTAGACGCCCGGAGGACGTATTAATGAACCCGTTTTTTTTTTTTTCGGGACGGCCTTCGTACGATATTATCATAATGTTATTACGCGGTGCTATCGTTTTTGTGCGCAGGTTGTGTCGCCCGTTTCCCCTCCCCCCTCCCCGAAAATAAATTCTAACATGTCCGATGTCTTCGCATCCCGTTACGAACGCGATCGCGTTCGTAAATACGATAAATCGCGTTAAAAATAGTTTTTTTTTTTTAATTAATTTTTTCGTTTTTTTTTTTTTTCTGTTCGGTTACAGGTTCCCGATTTCCAAAGCGCTCTGACCGGCAAATCTTGCAACGAAGGATGGCCCACCGAGCAAGAGATAATGGTAAGTAGCGCCGCCACATTATCGTCCTAATACTTATATATATATATATACACACACACACACACATCCAGTTTCCCGGGTGTGTACGTTTCCCCGGCCCGCCCGACGACGGCGGCGGTTCCGTCTCGTGTATTCGGCCGCCGTTTTTTTTTTCGATTAGGCCGCCCGAACGAGCGCGCGGTAGAAAATGGATTTTAAACGCGTATACCCATCACCGGTGGAGAAATAAAAAACAACGAAATAAAGCCCCGGGCCCGTACGGCGAGAGTAGTATATGAGTGAAAAACACTCTGCGTGCATCGCGCATTATTATAATAATATTACACGTACCGAGACAGACGGGGCGAATGAAAATATTCCAAAAAAACCGCTTCATCACTACTATACGGCGTCGTCGGTGTCGAATCTTTGAACCCGCGCGCGACGACGTGACATGTGGCGCCACCTAATCTGGTGATATGTTATTACTGTTGCTGCTGCTGCTGCTGCTGCTGCTGCTGCTGCTGCTGCTGCGCATAATACGGACGGAAGAAAAGAAGCCGTTCAATAATATTATACGACGACGAGTAAATAATATAATAGTACGAGTCCGCGGGAGAAGAAAAAAAAAATAAATAAAAAAAATACAAAAATAGTAATAAAAAAAAAAAAAAAAACCACGAATCTCCTCCTCCGTGCAGTCGTCCCGTCTCCGCGAGGCCGCAGCAGGTATACACACCTACCCGTGACGCGTATAACAATAATATATTGCCGGTATACATACATATATGTATTATACTATAATAACGTATAACGAGATAATATTCTTTGTGTCATTTCGCCGATACGACGTATAATAGTTTATTTTTTATTGTTTTTTTTTTTTCCCCGATAAGTTATTACTGTTGCATAGGACTCCGGACGTTTAAAATCCACAAAAAAAAAAAAAAAAAACGCTTAAAAACGTCGAAAAAATAAAAAAACACGGCGAAAAAATCACTGGAAAAATCGAAAATGGTAAAGGGTCTTGCAGCTATAGGTCTCCTCTAACGACTCTTAACTAATTAAATACAACGTTTAAACACGCGACGAAAACGATTAACACAAAATAATTTTTTTCTATAATACAATTTTACAACGTACAATATTATATTATGAATAATTTTTTTTTTTTAAAACGCAGTAATTTAGTATGCGATTTTAAGCGTAAAAAGCCGTACGGTTATTACGATTTGACGCAGCGAAATTGAAAACGAGCGTTAATTGTCATTTATTTTTTTTCGCGTTATCGGCTTACACGCGTCGTTATCACAATAATATTATTAATTATAACTAGGGCAGAGAATTTCTAGTGCTTTAACAATCTAAAAATATCCATGCACGTATGCGCTTAAAATTCAAGAAATATGCAACTGTGATTATGCAATTATGATTAGTTTATTATTAATAAATACATTTTTTTCGTAGTCTTCTAGATATTTTTGTTTTCTTTCTTCGTTTTCTTCCCCTTCATCTTGAAGTTTCAGTTGCACCGATCAGATGATAGTAAATTACCTAACCGATAATGAACATATTACTTTTAAATATAAAATTGACCAATGTGTTCTTTTTTGACTCCGATAATTTATTAGAATTTATTTCGAAAATTGCCAAATATGTTCTTAATTTTTCTAATATTCTCAAATATGCATTCATATACGTAATAACGACAAAATATGCAGAATGCAGTTTTGAATGTGATCTCCTCGTGTTTGAAACACTTTTGTTTATCACTAGAAGTGTTCTACGACCGTTCTAAAAAATACGAAAAAACTGTAGAAGTCCTCGGCCTTAATTATAAACATTAAGTGCGGGGCGGCCAAACGGCGTGAGACCAGAGACGAACGAATTATCGCGTTTCGACGAACCGAACGAAAATGTTTTGACGGTATAATATTTAACGCCTAATAAAAAAAAAGAAAAAACAACGTGAAACGATTCGAATTTTTACACGAAACGTCGTGTTTAGCAGTATAAAACCGCACCCGGGACTCGAATATTTTATACTCTTTCGTTTTTGCATAATATTATAGACGGATATTAAAAAAAAAAATTACAAACTGCGACCGTAATAATAATATTATTGTTGCGTCATAAAAATCGACGACGTGTAATAGTATGCAATGTAGTCGTACATCATATTTTATAATATAGGTATACGGCAATATTCACTGCCTTGAACTGCTGCTGCTGCTGCTGCTACAACAGTCGTGTTACAGTCACTGGTTAGTGTATATACATAATATACAGGGTGTAACACGCGCGATGATATGGCACTCGTAATGATTTTCGTTTGAAAAAAAAAAAAAGGTTTAACGCGCTTTCTTCCGCGCGATAATAACGAGTAATAATCAACTATGTAGATCCGGAAGTATTTAAATTCTTAAAAAAAAATCGTGTTTGCAGAACCCGTTCTAGACGGTCTGCGTTCTATTAAACGCTTTTTAATGCATTTTATAGCGAAATGTTGGCGTTACGAATGTTTACTGACGGCGGATCGTTAAATTTCTTTGGTTCTTCGCGGTTTTAATTGCCATATTGCTAATTAATAATAATGCTGTCATAAGCGGTTTACCAGTTTGCCAAAGAAAAATGATTTCTGTAAGCTACGCGTGTCGTTATGGCGAATATTAAGTTTTACGATGCGAAATTATATTTTTCGAAATTCATTTATGATTAAGTGTTTACCCGTGTGTTTTGGATTATGTAAACTATACGGTTTTTTTTAAACAATTTAAATTTGTCGTTTTTAGTTTTCAAATTACATATGTGCCTATACCTACTATACGTGAAATAGAGAAATCTTAAAGCGCGAGATTTCAGAAATAATTACGCGAAAAATAAACCGAACGGAGTACGAAAGGTATTCCGGATGTCGGATATTCGTGTTACACCCTGTATGTTAGAAAAAAAAAAATAATGTAAAAACTAAAATGGTTAGCCGCAACGGACTAGCTGCTAGTGTTATTAATATATTACAAAAAAAAAAAACAAAAAAACAAAAAACTAATAGTAATTACCCGCGGTCTCGTATATACATATTTCAGTGTAGTGGTATTATAATATAATTACGCCCTTCCACAATTTCCGAATAGAAACGTGCGCAACACGCGTTTGTGCGTTATAATTTTTTTATTTATTTATTTATTTTTTTTTTTCATTATTATTTTCTCGTTTGCGCGTTAATATATGTATTTCGAACACGCCATCGCACGCCGATACGAAAAAAAATAAAAAAATTGAAATTTCGAATAACACAACGTACATACGCGCGTATGAACAATTTGGATTTCGAGCGGTAGCGGTCTAACGGGCGAATGAGCGTGAGGGCGATAACCGACCTGCGATTCTCTCCCGTGTAACTTTTTCCCTCTGTCGTTTATAATGATGTGTATTTTGTACGTCTTTACCCATGTATTTATAAAAATAAAAAATGTAAATAATTGTAAACGTTCAAAAATCAACCTACCCCCCCCCCCCAAAAAAATCATTCGATCGCTACAATATAATTCCGGGTGCGCGACAGCGAAATCGCTATATTACTATTAAAACCTCTGTTTCAATTACCAAATGTTTCGATTTTTTCACTGAATGGGGATTTTTCACCCGGCAGTAACTCTACTTTATTCGAAAAGTAATTTTCATATTTCCAATAGTTTATTTGAAAAACGGCAGCGGCAGTTCAAAATCTACGGTATTTTTTACTAACAGAGAAAATGAATGGAAACACATTTTTGAACTCAATAAGGAATAAAGAAGTTAGAAAAAAAAAAAAAAAAATGTAAAAATGACTGACATCCTACTTCGCCCGTTGGTGCAGCCACTGTTAGCGGGAATTTGGAAAGATAGAATACAAACGGGAATTTATTGTATATCCGTAAGGAACGATAAACCATTGCTTGCGAAAAAACGATACTGAGCGGAGTTCAGTTGATAGTGTTGCTTTGTCAACAAGATGCATATGTCATATATTATGGTAAAACGATTACAATAATGTGCGTTTTCATGTCAAAAATGATTGTTTAAAAAGAAGATTAAAATAATAAAAACTTAATAATAACAAAAAATAAATAAAAACGGTGGCCAATGACAACGTTATTTTTAATCTATTGATCTTTTTCGACCTATAGACCGAGGTTTTTCTCATTATCTCGAATACGAATGAGAATTTCAAAAAATTACTCCTTTAAAGTACCACCCAGAGAACATTTCCTTTCGGAAAAGGCGCTATTGTTGATAATCAGAGTATGCTTTCTAGTAGTAAAAAAAAAAAAAAAAAAAACCGTCATTGTAAAGTCAATATATTTCTGGCTCCGCTCGGAATCTAAAAAATAATAGTAATAATATTCGGCAAATAAAACAGATGTATTTTAACCCCCCCCCCCCCCCCCCGGTTGAAATATCGACGTACGTAATAGTAAAACACACTGATCGCAGGTTACGAGAAAATAAAATACGAATAATTATAATACACACTGATGGTCTTACTGCGGTTCATCGAGCCCCGCTCAGAATCGTTTGCCGTTCGTCCGTCGCTCTCGGCGATTCGGCCGGTGTGAACCGTAATTTACACCTGTTCGCGCAAATCGCATCCTTCCGAATTTCCCTACCTTTTTCGTAACGAGGCCGCTCTGTTCCATCACAGAACATCGCGTTAGTGATCGCGCGGAATCGGCATTGAATGATTTTCGAACCGAACCGCCGGGTATTCGGTATTCGATTTTCGAACGGTTCGTCGCGTCTCCGGATATTTCACAACGCGCTGTCGGACCGTGCTACGGTATATTCGAATATAATAACATTGACTTTTTTTTATCGGTCGGTACCCGCACCGTACAATATATACGCATGCGTGTGTATCGTTCGTTTGTTGCGTATGCGAGCGCCGCCGCACAATAGTATGCGGAGAAAAAAAAAATATCATCTTATTGAATTTCGGTTTTTTTTTTTTTTTTTTTTTTTATTATCGTTATTATTCACTTTCTTTACACACTTGCATGTATAATATTATTATATATTATATATACTTTTGCTAGCCGCCGCCGCCGCCGCACAAACCGCACACTCATCGTCATTAAAACGAGCGCATACATTGATAAAAAAAAAAAAAAAAAAAAACCGAGTAAAATAGTGTATATATAATTAATTTTATGACGTCGTCAGTTATAACGCGGTTGACTAATGGCGCGCGCGCGGCCTTATCTACGTATCGTCATCTTTTTTTCTGTTAGCTAAAAGAATATAAACAAGGTGCAGTGCCTTCTTCTTCTTCTTTTTCGACGTCGTCGCAGTCGTCTCCGGCACCTACGGGCCTCGGAAACTAACGGGTTCCTGTCCTATACACGCGGCCGAAAACGACGGCGAGACTCGCGTATAAAATTATCACGCGGTACGTTTTTTTTTTTTCGTGAACGGAAACGCAGAGTTACGGACGGCCGTCGCGTACAGTGTATTTTTTTTTTCATTTTCCTACCGAATATTATTTCCCCTCTCGACCCTATCAGCCCTCCCTCTCCCTCCACCGTCCGTATTGTTGTTATTAATTCGTTCGAAAAATTATCATAATAATAATACGAATATTGCAGTATTGTATGCACGTGATAAATCGCGTGGGCCGCGTGCGCTTGTGCACAGAATTCGAACGGTTATAATAGTCGTAGGTGTATAAAAAAGTAATAATAATAAAAACCCCGCCCCGCGTTTCGAAATATCGTAATTTATGCAAATACGCGAGATACTGTAATTTATTATATAGGTTAAATGTCCGCGCGCGTGAAATAATTATCTCGCACCACCCATATTAAATTGTTGCCTATACTGACTGTACTCGTGTATTGAAAAAAAAAATAATAATAATAATAGTAATAATTTTTTGCTCGACCGATTTGCCGGCGATTTCAACGATTCTTTCCGGAAACGCCAGCGATCGAAGTTGTACACATATACGGGCCGTTGACGATTGAATGGCAAACCGAAAGGAAAAAGGCGCGCGGGAAAATCGATGCGGACGACGAGATCCGGAGATGCTTGACGCGGCCGGCCGGAAGGAATAATGGAATGTCGACGCGAGAACCCGGAAAACCGGCCGGGAAACGAGTCCGTAAAGTTCCCGGGAGAAGACTGAGACCGCGTCCGTTACGCGTGGTTCACGACACGCGCGAACGGCGAACTTTAAGAAGCGTACTGCGCCCCGACGGTTGGACGGGCGCGGAATCGACCGCGAAAACCGAATCTCGGTTGCGCGCGAAACGGTCCGAGTTACCGGCCGCGGCACAATACGCGCCGTCCCCGCAGCGCCGCCGCGGTGTTTGCCCGTACGCCGTGCGTGCGCGCACACAAACGAAAACGGAATTGGCGATTTCGTCGAGATTTTCGATTATACGCGCTGTGTAGAAGCAGCGTAAATAACGCGCACCGCGGTTTTCACGCGTGACAGCAGCAGGTCCGCAGGTGTATCGCGATATTATTATTATTATTATTATTATTGTCGTGCGGAATTTTACCTTTCCTCCGCCCCGGGACAATATGACATTATATAAACGTTATTGTAATATGACATTATTATTCCCGATAACTGCGCGAACGTCCGGGCGAACATTCGGCGGTCGGAGGTCCGGGGGTTTCTTCCGACGACACAATGCGTCCCGTCCGCGTCCGGTGTCGTGTTACGCGCGCCGTTGTTGTCGGACGTCGTCGCCGACGTTTCGTTCGAACGTCCCGCCGCCGGTGATTTCGTCCTCGGTCATCGCACGAATTATCGCCGTACACGCTCATTGGTCTTTAACCCCGGGCCCCCGTAACCCCATTATCCGGCCCCCCCGTCGTCGACCAGTCGAGACCGGTATTTCGCATGGTTTTTGCGCGAATCGGAGAACAAACCAACGGGCGTAATATGCTCTTCGCGCGTCGGGAAGGTACACAGTGGGGAAATTTCGGAAAATTTCGCTAACGAAAAACGGTTCCGAGCGGAGCTCGTCCGTAAAATATTATTTACGTAACGAAAATAAAACGGTTCGTAAATGTTCCCGCGTTTGTCCCCCGTTTGCCGCGACGAAAATCAAACGAATTACCGTCCTAAAGAGTGCCGGCCGCGGTCAGGTTTCCTTTCGGAAAAAGTGCCGCACTCGGAAATCGGGGCACAGCCGCCGGTAGAAAAGTTGTTGTTCGCGGATGCGAAAAGGAAATAAAAACACAATTTTACGCCGATATGATATTTCCCGCTCCGCTCCGAATCCAGAAACGAAAATGTATGACGACGTTCTCGGCCCGCCCGGGGGGGTGGGGGGGGGGGGGGGGGTAAACGTTTTCGATCGCGCTCGCGGCGCATTATATTATTGGCGGCGTCCCGAAACCTCCTCTCCCCACGACGACCGACGCGTAACCGCACACGTGCGGCGCGAATCTCCCCGGCCGTCCGGGCCATCGGATCGGAAGACGACATTGAAATAACGTGTCGTTTCTGACGTTTCGCCGGCCGCGATAAGCGCGACGGACTAACCCGGGGAGATCGGATTCCGCATTGTGTTCCAGCCACAACAATGAATCTTGCGCGCAAATGACGAGTAAATAACAGCGTCAACCCCCCGGGGAGGGCGACCGACGACGACACAAACGATTGACGTCGTCGTCGCGGGTTGTCGAAATCCGTTCGAGCGGTTAATTATATGGTTATTTCGGGTTTTTTTTTTTTTTTTGTTATATTCTTCGTCGTCGTTGTCGCCGGGGTCACGCGGTTAAAGGTTCACGTTGCACGTTACAATCCCATCGTCCACCGCCGGCGAAATACCGATAAACACAATGGATAATATTGTACACGGGGTCGTCTTGTTGACCGGTGTACCGTGTCGTCCGGCCACGTTCTCGTACGAGTGGGGCGCACGCGAGAATTTCGTTTTCGCGACGGATTTCGTCGACGGAAATTTCCCGGATGGGGAACAGCGCATTTCGTTGTCAGTACCGTGTCACTTGTTATCAGGTACTGAATAAATTGTTTCCGATGAAACTAAATTTTATTCTATTCTGTGGTTTAAGATGGTATATTGTTATTTACGTGATTGTTGAATGTTAAACACTCGATTTAAAACAAAAAAAAAATAAAAACGTAGCGAAGGAAAGCATTTCGGAGAGAGTTTTGACCCCCTAACCCCCCCCCCCTTTGCGTACATCACTGTTCTCGTATATTCGCTCGACGGGCGCTCAACAGACGCGGCGTAATATTATTGGCGGCTAGCCGATATTACGACTTTTTTCCGCGATACCCGCGATAATCGATTGTTTACCACAGATATATTATAAAAACCGACGATACTCGATCCGAAATTTTAACACAAAAACTGCCGCAGCGAACCGCGACATTAGCATTAACCGATTTATCAAAAAAAAAAAAAAAACCGATAACCTATCGATGATATTTACCAATTTTTAGATTCGTTTTAATTTCTTAAATGATATACATTATTTACAATAGCTCTTTGCTTTACGTCAGATTAGAAAAAACGATTTTCTCATATCTATTAGCTACTATCGAAATTCAAACGTTTATTGAAAATAAATGTTTTTTTTTTTTTTTTTTTTTTTTCAAAATTAAAACCCGATATCCGATATTCAGATATCCTCAATGTCGGCTGATATACGATATCGGTGTCGTCGCCGCTCTTTAAAATTATTTCACCTGACTACGTTTTATAGATATTGGTGCCACCGCCTCCGGCCATCAACTCGCATTTTCTAACTAATAATAATTTATCATAATAAACGCGAAAACGAATTTTCGGCCGGACGGACGTGTGTTCGTTACCCGCATTTTGCGCGACCATTACGTGGTCGCCGCACGTTTCCCGGGCCGCAACGGTAACGCCGCGGTAAACGGTGGACCGTGTGTCGAATGTCTCGCCGTTTTTCGGCCGAGTGCACATTTTCCTCCTTTTTCGGCCGAGGGCACATTTCCCTCCTTGTTCGTCCTGTTGTTCCGTCGGGATGCTGTTGTACCGGCGCCGCGCTTTCGACGTCCACACTCCCGTTTCCGTAACACGGAAATTGTGTTGTTGCGTTATTCGGGCGCCGGCTTCTGTTGCCCGGACGGTCGGTATAATAACGCGTCTATGCCCGGGTCGTAATATCACGGGAGACCATCGCCGTGCCCGTCATTATTATTTCCTACGTCCCGGCTCCGCGTATTATAATATATGGAAAAATATGATAATGATTCGAAAATAACGTAATAATAATAATAAGTAATAACAGAGCCGACGGTCCTCATTTTTTTCTTCAATCTTCTTCTTCTTCTGTACTTCTCGTGATGTTTTCGGACGTTGTATATATATATATTGTAATATACAAGACGGAATAATAATAATAAAAAAAAAAAAAGGTTAAAATTATTATTATTTTTTGTTTTTTTTTTTTTTTTTTTTTTGTCTCGCCATTGGCTATCGAATAATATTAAAATATATACATGACGTATCGAGATCGAATTCGAATGCGGCCGTCTTATCGAAAAGAAAAGAAAAAAAAAATTATTAAATAACATAATGATAATAATTTAAAAATCTAATTTATTCGGAACGGTACACGAGCAATACAAACGGACAGACGGACACACGAGCGTAGGTATATTTTTGTTTTGTTTTTTTCCCCCGAACACGTAACACGTTTGTTTGAGGCCCTCGGGCGCGTTCGCGGCAATGCGCGGCCGCAGATTGCTGATGTGTGTTTCAAGTTGCGTGTTGCGCGCGTAACACTGGATGCACCTGGGCGAAACCGTCGACAAACGTCCAGGTCCTCGGTTAGGTATTCGCGGAGAGTGGGGTCGGCGGTTGATGAGACGCCGGAGTGCCGGCACCGCGGATACACATGGTGTCGGGTGATGGAAAACTGCGGGGAACGGCTTTAACAGTTTCGCGCATTTTGGAAGCGAGATCGCGACAAGCGGCGCCGTATAAAAAAAAATGAAACGGAGTGCGCATTACACGCAGAGCGTGTACGGTAACACGTATCGTGTATCGTGATAGCCGACCGAAAATGATCGTAACGGCAAATACGTAATTTTACGCGATTTCACTAAAACGGCTAGTACGAACGGCCTTATCCAGGGGTTACGCGGTGTTTATCTGAAATGATCAGCAGGCTTTACCTTACACGCTACACTTCTTCCGCGTTTTCGGTAAACAATAAAAAAAAAAGGAAAAGGGACCTACTGGTTTAGACCGCGCTGTGCTCCGCGGGAACCTCGCCGTGTAGCGCGCACGCGGCGGAAACGCGGTTTGCAAGACCGAAAAGCCGAACAATTGTAGCCTTCAAAAGGCGGCGCTGCGAGGCAGAAGAGTTCCGGGAGAAGAGCCTTACGGAGAGAAAGAGAAGTCAATACGGGGCCCCGCGGTCGTACGTCAGAAACGGGCCGTCCAGTGAATAAGAGACTGCGCTTGCGGGTACCGACGGTAATTGACGCGCGTCGACGGAAAGACTGCGCAGAGCAGGAAGTGCGAGCGACGGAAAAACACACCGCGGATTAAATACTCGTATGCGGAACCGCGTAACGACCGTAATACGATCGTTTGATACAGCGCGGGGTTGAAAAAAGCGAATCGTTTGTGTCCGTCGGGGCCCCATCTCGGAAAATCTCGAATTCGGTTCGTTACGGAAACGCCACTCGCGATTCGCCCGAACACCGTGATAACGATACGGACGCGTACTTTGGCCGATTATTGATCGCGATCCGGTCCGATTCGCTGGCGGTCGTCGCCGGTTTTTTTCAGTTTAAATCTCGATGGGTGTTTTTTTTTTTTATTATTTTTTTTTTTTTAAAACACCGACCGGTTCGACGCGATTGTTCAGCGCCGCTTGTTACGCGTCATCCGAGACAGCGACGTTTCGTCGTAATAGTATCGTTAACGTTTTCGCGCGACCTCAAGTGGCCCGCGGATAACTGCGACATTACCGCGCGGCGGTAAATGAATTTTTGTTTTTACGACTCCGGCGACTGTGACGCGCTCGCCACTCGCGCGCGTCACCCGTCGCAATTACCCGTCCTTTGGGTTATTTTTTGCAAAATCATTTTTTCCGCGACGCCGCCCGATAAACTGTGACGCACGTCATGTCACGTCCGGCAGGCGGCGGCGGCGGCGGCGGCGGTTCAAACGAATCCCGATGCGCGTATAATATAAAACACATCTCCGCGGGTCGTTAATACCCGACGTGCCTGTAATGCCTGCTATACGTTTATGATCATCGCCTCGGTGTACCGTGCGCACGAAGCCCTCACGAACCTAAACGCGCCCGGCACGAACCGGGAAAACGTTTTTACGCTAGAAATGTTCGTAATTTGTTAACGGCGAGGAAACGGCGTGCCGTTACGCCGCGCGATAAAAGTTTACACACTTTACAGTTTAAAACCCCCGGGGGAGGGGGGGGGGCAACGGCTCCCTCGCTCCCGAAAACGCCAAATGCATATCCTTGTTCCTAACCCGTTTGTCCCGTGTTGTTACAGGAACATCCCGGTCTCCGGAACACTCCGCTGGCCATGCTGGCGGCGCAGTGCAACAAGCTGCAGAGTAAATCGCCGCCGCCGCTCGCCGACGCCGCCGTGGGCAAAGGATTTTACCCGTGGAAGAAAAGCCCGCAACAGCAGTCCAACGAAATGTCCGGCTCGCCCTTGCAACAACAGCAACAACAACAGCAGCAGCAGCAGCAGCAACAGCAGCAACAGCAGTGCCAACAGCAGCAACAGCAACAGCAACAACAGCAGCAACAACAGCAGCAGCGCACGTCGTCGAGCACGGCCGAGTCACCCAGGCCCGTGGTCACGTCCACGACGTCGGCCCCGTCCACGCCCGTGCCGCCGGGTGCCGGTTACCCGCCGCCGCCTCCGCCGCATCACGGGAACATCTACTTCGGTGCCGGCCACCAAACGCTGGCCGCGGACAACAACGGGCACCACCACCACCACCAGAGTCCGTTGCTCGGCAAGGTCGACAATCACAGCGCCCTGTACGGCCGCCATCCGTACGAGTGGCCGTTCAACTCTATGGGCACCGCCGGACACCACGCGCCCACCATCAAGACCGAGTCCGTGAATCCCGCCTGGTGGGACGTGCACGGGAGCGGATGGCTGGACATGAGTGGAGGTAAATACACTAATTTTATAGGTCCCCGTAATACGCAGCGCGCGTTACGTTTTTTTTTATTATTTGCGCGGTAATGCATTCGGCGTGCAATCGAGTTCGAGCGAGCGATCGACGCGCGCTCGCGCAATGCGCGGTACAAAACCGATACCATCGGGAACACGTTCCGTATCGGGTATTCGGTGACTTTCATTTTATCGGTTTTTTTTTTTTTTCTTGTTCGCAGGCATGCACGCCCAGATGGCCAACTACGCGGCGCAGTCGGACTATTCTTCGCTGAGCCACTCGCTGGCCGCGTCGAACACGGCCCACCACCTGTTCTCCAACCAGCACTTTTTACAGGACACGTACAAGTCCATACTGCCCGGCGCCCAGACGTCGTTCGGCCTCGGCCACCACCATCACCCGTCCGTCGTCACGTCCTCGTCGTCGTCTTCGTCGGCCACGTCGCCGGCCGGTTCGGCGGCCGCAGCGGCGGCGGCCGCGGCGGCCGTCTCGGCAGCGTACAATACGGCCCCGCAGACGCCGTCACCGCGGACGCAGCGCCGGTACACGGGCAGGGCCACGTGCGATTGTCCCAACTGCCAGGAGGCCGAGCGGCTGGGCCCGGCCGGCGGTCATCTCAAGAAGAACGTGCACAGCTGCCACATACCCGGTTGCGGGAAAGTGTACGGCAAGACGTCCCATCTGAAAGCGCATCTCAGGTGGCACACGGGCGAACGGCCGTTCGTGTGCAACTGGTTGTTCTGCGGCAAGCGGTTCACGCGGTCGGACGAGCTGCAGCGGCACTTGCGCACGCACACCGGCGAAAAGCGGTTCGCGTGCCCGGTGTGCAACAAGCGTTTCATGCGGTCCGACCATCTCGCGAAGCACGTCAAAACGCACAACGGCAACGGCGGCAGCAAGAAGGGCAGCAGCGACTCGTGTTCCGACTCGGAGAACAGCCAGAGCGCGGCCGACGGCTCGTCGCCGCACCAACAGCAACAGCACCAACAGCAACAGCAACACCAACAACAGCAACAGCAGCAACAACAGCACCACCAGCAGCACGGCGTGCAAACGTTGCACATGGCCGACGTCATGGTGGACATCAAGCCGCCCGTGCCCGTCGGCGGACCGGCCGGTCTGGTCCGGTGGAGCCCGGTGGTCAGTTCCGTGGGTTCGGTGGTGCCGCTGTCGCCGCCGTCCTCGCACGTCGTGCCGTCGTCGCCGTTCATATCGACGGTGCAGTCGTCGCAGCACAAGGACCTGCAGAAGAACAGTTTCTGCAGCTGGACGACCGCCGGCGCCGGAAAGGAGCCGAAAATGTATCAGGAAAAGCTGGAATGAGCGTCGCCGCCGCCGGTGCAGTCGCCACCACCACCGCCGCCGACAGCCGTGTTCGGCGTCCGCAGTAACGACGGTGGCGGCACCGGCGGTGTCGCCTTCGCGCCCGGCGCACAGTTGTTCTCTAGTCTCCAGCAACAGTACAAAAACGGATTTCAACAGCAGCAGCAGCAGCAGCAGCACCACCACCATCACCACCACCACCATCACCAATCGCACCTGCAGCAACAACATCAGCTGCAGGAACAGCAGCAACTGCAGCAGCAGCAGCAACAGCAGCAGCAACAGCAGCAACACTATCACCACCAACTGCAGCAGCACCACCAGCATTACGCGGCCCTGGGCAGCGCGTTCTACACGTACTGAGTCCGCGTAAGTGAGTTTTGTGCCGCCGCCGTGTTGTGTACATATACAAATATTTTACGTGTACGATATTATTATTATTATTATTATTATTATTCGGTTGTACATATTATTTTATTGTAAAAAACAAAAAAAAAAAAAAAAAAAAAAAAAAAAAAACAATCATATTATAATTATTATTATCGTCATTAACGTTTTATATTATGTAATGTAAAAAAAAAAAAAATAATAATAAATATTATTAGTGTTAATCCGACGGGGAGACAAAAAAACAAAAAATAAAAACAAAAAAAAAATAAATAAATAAATAAAGAAACGTTTTGTCCGCTTTACGCGCATATAGGGTAAAAAATATAATTATTTTTTTTTTTGACAGAAAATACCCGTTCGGCCGGCGATCGCTCGTACATTTGTGCGCCGCTTTTGTTCTTATATTATATACAAGATCGTACGATTATTATTATTATTATTATCATTATCATTATTATTATTATTATATTATATTTAATAAAACAAAATATCGTCGATTATTATTATTTTTTTTTTTTTTTTTTTGAACGAGCGAAATATACATACACCCGTACTGTAACGTATAATATTTACATTCGTAAATGCGTATTAATTTTCTTTTTAACGACGCGCCAACAATACTGTACAGGTACTGGACACCGTTATATACGTGTATATCACTGTACCATATACACATAATACATAAGTACGTATGTATACGTATGTATAAAAACTATACGCGTTTGCGTGCTCTGTACGTTAAAAAAATTGTATCCCGCGAGTGCGTGTACACGACAGTTATTACAAATATATTTGTGCGTATCGACGATGATTATGCGCAACAGAGCGTACGTTTATTGTTCGTCCGTCGTCTCGGAAACCGTCGGATTTCATTTTTTTTTTTTTTCCCGCCGATCGTACGGTTCGGGCGCCAGCGGCACGCCGGGGTTACGCTGGCGGCCGCGGGAGTCTTGCCGCGCGTCACTCGCTGAATCGCCGCGGTCGGAAGGTCACCGGCGCGTGGCGACGACACCGCGCCTCGTCGCCTCAGGCTCTTTTCACATTGTACGGGGAAAAAAATGCCCGGACGGCAATATCGGTACCTATTGCTCTCTCCCCCCCCCACCCGTCACCCGCACGACGGTGAATATTTCGTCGCGAAAACCGTCCGGGAAACCGTATACGGCACGTACAACGGGTGGGGTGGCTAGAACTTCTAATGTCCGTGGCGTAACGTTGCGTAGACTCGCCGAATGGTTGGGCCGGCGCTATGCGGAGGAGTGTACGGCCGTTCATAATCGGCAATTATAAAAAAAAAACAAATCTAACGGTTCTCTGTCTATCGTAAACTATCGGTACGCCACTGCGTACAATATTAATTATAACCGTCGCGTTTCGTACCGCGGTTATAGATTTGCGCGGTTACCTGCGGTGACCCGACCTGACGAGAACAGCTGGGCGGCCGCGACTGCGGAAACGCCGACCGCGGTAACGTATCAAAATCCCAATCGACTACTCACATCCGGCCCTCGCCTACCGCGATTTTTTCGGGGTTTCCCCCCCCCCTTTAAGGTTACTCCGATCACCTTCGGAAAAACGAATCGCCTCCTGTTTTATCGTTTTCTCAATGGTTTCTAGCCGATATCGGGTATAACGACGCATAACGGTAACGGCCGCGCAAACACCACCGACCGTTGTTGAACCGAATGCGATTTATAATCTCCGGCCGCGAATCGACGGAACGTCGCGTTCGACAGATAACGGAAATCGATTTCGCATATAATCAATACCCCGCGGCGTGATCCACGTACGGGACGCGATTCGATTCGACTGTCCCGGCGCTCGAACAGCCGCCGAAAACACCCGGAGGCGATTCGAACGCAAACGGGTCGTCTACCGGATGGCATACGCGAACCGCATAAACCCGCCGTGCGAACGCTCGTATGGGCGCGGGTGTACACGGACAGCCGAAAAATTTATTTCGATGACAAAGACGCGCGGACGGTTTTTAAGTGAGTACATCTGTACAGTATACGGATATGGACGGAATACGAGAATATTCGTATTGCGTCGATAATATGAAAAAAAAAAACGAATAATATATTTACGATTCCGGCCGTGGACATTCGGCGAGAATACGCGGTCTGGCCATTTATTTCCTCCCGATGTCCGTATGGCGACGCACGATTGTAGAGAAAATCGTCTGTTTGTATCGTGTAAACGTATTTTCTGTGCGCGGATTATCGCCGCGCCCGCGCACAGAATTCATATCTTATAGACAACTGTCGTTATTATGTTTTTTTTTTTTTTCACGCTCAAAAATACGCTGTACTCGCCAATATTTGCACTCGTGTTTAGATAAAACAGCCACGTATGTATGCGCTCACGCGGCACCGGATATACCCCTTTCGTTTCCTGCAGCGTTGCGGGCGTTTTCAATTTTTCTCCCCGTCCGTCCGTCCGCGCCCGCGCGCGTGTGAGTCGGTTTTTATTATTATTATTTTTTTTTTTCGTTATTATTTTTTATTGCCTTTCCGTGTCCGTGGCCATTGCGGTTTTCGGACGGGGGCGAACGAAAAACCTTGACGACGGAAAGCCAAACAGACGACAGTTCGACGAGTAGCGCGCGTGCGAGCCGATAAGCGGTCACACGCGCGTGTGACGCGCGTTTACACAGACTTCGGGCCGTCCGGTCGGGTTGGGTTAGGTCGGGTACGTTTCGAGCAAACGATAATCGCGTACAATCGGGGTAGGGGGGGAGAGGGGGACACGTACTATCCGTTTTCTTCTCGTCGTTTACGGGCGTCCGCCGCCAACCCGTGCCGGCGGCGTGTTTAGGATCTTGCCGGGGAACAAACGAGAGATATCGAATTCGGCAATTACGCCGTAACGCGTGCGACGTGCGCGACGCGAACGCGGGCTAATGAAATTATCGATTTTTCTTTTTTTCCCCATATTATTATTCAGAACATTGAATTTACCCCGTGAACGCGTCGCCGCGACTCGCGCTTTCGATTCGTCGGAAAACCCGATCGCACGGTCCGTTCTCCGGCCATCGGGCGAGACTCCTATTGTACGCACACGGAGCTTCCGCTTCCGGGTACACCTGCGTTTGGGGTAGTCCTTGTTTTGACGGTTTCGATAACCCAACCTTACACCCATGCCCCGCGGATAAGATCCGGAGACGCCCCTGTCCAGGCGTCGAAAAGTTCCACCGACATAACGGCGGAAAAACGCATTCGACGCGTGTTACAATAAGTTCGGCGCTCTGAAATCGGTCACTCTACGCGTGTTCCGTCCGAACGCTTCACTCCGCTACGCATACCCAGTGCACGGATTCTCTACATTACATTCCTCAGTCTAAATGATGTGTATGCGCGTCATCGTAAATAACCTTTTACCGGCGTACTCCTGGAAATCCTATATCGGTTTTAAAACCGATTCACTCGGTCGGGCGACATGTAACGTCCGCGCGATGTTATGCTGCGAATTCGTTTTGAAATTTACGAACCGCAATTACCGATCTGACGATGCATCTGTTCGATCGCGAGCGGACGTAGGACGGCGTGAACGTGCGAATTCGGGGTTCGAGAGCGGACCGTCGCGACCCGACGGTACTGTTGAGTCCGCCGGTCTTCGCTCGCTTTCGGGACAGACTGTACGTTCAATTAACGGTTTGTCTGTAATTGATATTTTTTCACGGTTATACGGTCACACGGGTACATCACGAACAGCCCGTGAACACTTTTAATGCGCATCGTATTTATACACGCGGTCAGCGCACACCCGTGATCAACGGATTCGCTTGTCGGCCGGCGCATGCGCCGGGATCCCGCAGGCACGCGACGCGCGCAGTGGCCGAACTTGAAGTCCTGAGTTCTAATGCCCGTGGCGAAATATTGAGATCCGAACCGAGGATCAGAAAAATAAAAATAAAAGTCATTCGAAAAGGTCCTCTCATCCGTCCGATAACGTGTCGGGCTAGGCGGTAATTGGTAAAAATGTCCGGGGAAAACGTGTCAAAGTTCAAATGTATAATAATTTACACATGTTGTTCATATACATTATAATTGTACATGTCCGTACACGTTAAAAGTAATTCTTGGCTGCTCAGTTACAATTTAGTGTGTAAAACGATTAAAACTCGCATTCGTCAGTAAAATCAACAAAATATCAAAACAATATCTATACGTATACCCCGTATGGATATGTACGTGCGATAACACCGTGATTATCGATATTAATTAATTGTACGTTTAAACTTTCATAGTTTTTTCCCGGGAATATTTTCCACCTTGATACGTCTCCTTGGGCTATTTTTTCCTCGGGTATATTGATTTCCACCTTCATAGGTTTTCCTCGGAATTGAAAGCAATTTTTCAAATAATTTAATTTTTATTATTTGTTTTATTTTTTATCGTAAATGACAATGTCGCAATAAATTTTATGCGGAATCGTGTTACATTAAGGTCTGATAAACGAAAAAAAAAAAAAATCTTTTGTATTCCGAAAATGTGCGGAATCGGGTAGGTAAAACGGTATATTGTGCGGAATCGCATGTCGCCCGTTTTTTCCGCCCTGGATATTTCAAACTGGTTATTCTTTTCCCGGATATTATCGATCCGGATATGTTTACCTAGCCCCGATAAAATTCAAGCTACACGCGGACACTCGGACGCGTCGTGTTCTCTTTCGACGTGCCGACGACGCGTAAAACACGCGGACGCGTCCGTACAACCACACGGATCGCGTATTATCCGTAATTTATTGTCATAATATACACGACTCCGCGATACTTTTCGTCGGGTGTTTTTTTACTCGCCCGTTTATCCGTTGCGCGATCGCGTGGATTTCGTCACCGCGACACGGTATTTTGACGATGCTCAAATGATTTTCGTATGTGTGTACACGCGTCGTCGAAACCGCGCCCCGAAACCGTTTTTTTTTTTTTTTTTTTTTTTCCGTTTGTTTGTACAACGGAGTCATCGCGTAATTTTCGTTTACCCCCCTCTCGGGTTTTGACGACGACGTGCCAGCGAGATCGTATCGAAATCGTTTGGTAGACGGAACTGTCGCGGACGGCATGTGTAGCAGGTAAGTATAATCATTTTTGTCGCGGTTCGAAGCGGGGAGAAAAAAAAACGGACATACTTCGCACGACGACGATAAATGTCGTGACGATTAATCATTATTGATGAATAACGATTCCGAGCGGCATTTGGTTGTACATGTTTTGAAAGGCCGTAATATTTATGATTTTCGTCAAAATTTTGTATTGACATTTTTATAATAAAAAAAAAAAAAAAAAAAAAAAAATTGATTTCGTAGTATTTCGGATCGATAACATCGATTGGTTATTATTGTAATTCGGATTATACGAATTGTCGAGGTGTGATCAATCCGGCGTTCGGATGTATTTATTTAAGTCAAACTGCAAATGAGCGTTAGCCCAATTTAACATAATGGTGTTAATAACTACAGCAATAGAAAATACACAAGAACGACAATTTAACAACAGATTGATCCGGATTAGGTTCTCAACACTAGTTCGTAGCCTCAGTCTACATACAGTATTTAGTTTAATCTCAAATGGCAAATTCGTGTATAAACCATTATTGTATTATACGTAATATAGTGCGGGAGTTTAACTATAATAAGCCAAAAGAATATTCGTTAACATTTGAAT